AATAGCACAAGTGCTAGGAGAAACCTCATTGCTCAAATCAAGCAGCCGACTAGATACATATGCTAAGAGTAGTCAAATATAGTTGGTGTTCTAAAACCACAACCCCAGATACAATACAACCGGAATGTGATCTATTTGCTCACACAGCCAGAATTTACACCCACTTCATAAAACCCCAGGTAGTAGAATGTAGGGATAAATCAAAGAAGAATCCGGATAAATAAATACGAACAAACAAAAAAAAATATTGCAATGCAAATTCAGATCCGGATAAATAAGAAGACCAAAAAAATTAATTCAATCAAAGAAGAATCGTAGCTAAAAGTTGACAACTAGTATCTACCAAAAAAAAAAGTGATCTTATTACAAACCCCAAAATTCCTTCACCTTCAAATATGCAAACCCAACCTCTTAAACACGGCACGCACTGCAGGTATTCAAAACCGAATTCCAGAATTGATCCGACCCAGAAGACCCAGAAACGAATTTCTCTACACAGAGAGCCCAAATTGAAAAACTGAACACAGAAACCGCCTCTAAGCTGTCACAGTGATCTTCAATAATTGGGCTTCAAGAAACAACCACAAGGAATTAATATGACAATGAATGAGTAATTTAAGAAGGCAATTACTGAATATGAACATTAAAAAAACATGCGTATATACAAATACATGTGAAGAGCTATTTTTCAATTAAAAAATAATAGGATAACTGTAAAAGTGGAATTGGGAAAGAGAAAAGACATGCGGATATACTTGAAGTTTATGAGATAAAGAAGAGAGGCTGGCAGCTGACCTGAGCTGAGCTGAGGTGTTGCCGATTATGGAACGACTTTTGAGTTGTCACAAAAGGCAAAGAGAGACATCATGTTGACTGCTATGGAATCGTTGTAGACAAAGCTAAAGCTGCGAATATTTTATTCTCTCTCCTCTTTTTATCAATCATTTCAGTTTTATTTTTATTAAAATCACTATTATTTTTGGATTTTGATATATATTTAACAAAGCTAAAGCTGCGAATATTTTATTCTCTCCTCCTCTTTTTATCAATCATTTCAGTTTTATTTTTATTAAAATCAGTACTATTTTTGGATTTTGATATATATTTAATCCATTTTATATATTGTATGAGGAAAATTAATAATTGAGTATGGCCTCTCTCTCTCTCCGGCCGCAAGAGAATCTGGTCCATGTGTTATGTGATGTGTTGTACAGCATTCTTTATAGACTTGCAGGCCCCAATACTCACCTAAATCAGTAAATGCAGTCTTATTATTTGTCTCCATCTTCCTTAAATGCTTCTTTTTTCTTTTTCTTTTTGGAGATAAAATGTCTTTTTCTTTTAAATTAATAATTGAATTAAGGATATATTTCACTTTTTTACACGAAATTTTTTACCACCACTATCATACTTATGTTAGTTTGATTGTCAAATTTTTTAATTGAATTAAGGATATATTTCACTTTTTTACACGAAATTTTTTACTCCCACTATCATACTTATGTTAGTTTGACTGTCAAATTATCCATCAAATAATGGCGTGGCATTCATAGCTACTCATTAATTTGCACACACCAACGCATCCCAAAAATTCTCAGCACACCCAACCTCGTCTTTTCCTCCCCAAATTCAATAATTTCATCAAATTTTTCCCAAATCGAAGACAAATTCAACATTTTTTTCCCAAATCCAACACACATGTAACATAGTTCAAGGTCAATGAGGAAGGACCCATCTCGGCATTACCCGCCATCGCCCCCAAAGGATGAGTTGGGGTTTGTGGCCGTCGAAGATTGGGGAGGAAGGTGTTGTAGCAGCAAT